CCCCCGGCCCCATACAGATGACTCAATTTAGCATCTGACGTGGTGGCATTCCAAAATAAGATTACAGTTCCATTTGCGTCCAGCATATTATACCATAGGTTCTGATGGTTTTTAAAAACAATTCTGATGATTTACAAAAAAAAAAAAAAAAAATTTATAAAAATCAGATGCCAACTTCCGGGTGGAACTATCGTTTGAACAGTCACGGGTATTCCAAGGTATACCAAAATTCAAGAAAAATAGTGAATAAAGGGGGTCTGATAGTTAAATCGTGAATTCCTTACCTTCCTGTAGGGGATGCGATATTCGCAGCCCTCAAAGGCACAATCGAAGAACTTTCGATACTTCGATTGTAACCAGTGTCTTTGCCATACATGCGTTCCGTTTACGTTCTCTAGTTCAATTGACGGATACAATTGGAAGGGTACTCAGCAACCCTTATGGAATCTTTGCCAATGTTTACTCAGCTCTTTTTTTTGTTCATCCCTCGTTTAGATTTTTTTTCATCTTTCCTCGTCCCACGGCTATCGCTTAAGGGAGCATTCAGCCGCGAACCTTTTAACGTTCACCGAGTGACTCGACGTTGCCTTAACGACGCCGACGGGGGTAATTGGAGTTGTGCATAACCACCCCCTGGCTTTCAGGAGTTCGGAGTGCCTAATGGCTGGTATAAGCTTGCACTGGCATCGCGTAGCGCGTTTTATTTTACAAAATAATAGTCATACCCGAGGCAAGGGGTGGTTAAATTTCCAATTGTTGCATGGCAGGTGGGGGTTGTTACTGTTACTGAGAAATAATACGCAAGGGTCGCTTTTCCACGTAGATACGATAAATTTCAAGCCGGAGGCTTGAAACCTAAAATGCAACAGTAAGGGTGGATTTTTAAAGTCCTAAAGTTCACAGTATTCGATTTTTCAATAGTTTACACCGTAGCTGCGCAGGAGCGTGTATAAGGGATGCTGCTTAGGCGATTGCACGATAACAGTTGAAGAGGCAGGGGGTGAGAGTGAAAATTCACAATTCAGTTGCAATCTGAAGTTAACGGATCGTAAAGAGGCAGGGGTTGTTTTAAATGAGCCGACACCTTGGCTATATTTTTCCCTCCAACGTGTAGTCCGTAGAGTGGCCAGTGAATAGAGTGGCGACTTACCACCCCCTGATAGCGAGGCTGACGTTAAATAATAAAACCTCTATATATGGTCACCATAAAGCTCGAGTTTCCCATAAAAATTTTCAATTTTCTCCGAGGTTACCTACAAGCTTTTCCAACCCTTGGCTCATTAAGCCAGCAGCGCTCTTACGCTTGGATTCATCTGGATATATATCTGCGTGCTGGATGAGTTTGCCTCATTTGCATCCGCGGGACGATCAAGAACAATTTTCTGGCTATCACTTGGCTTTTTTTTTAGGTATCCCGCGAACCCACGATTACATTTTGCATCTTATATTTTCAGGACTGCACTGTGCTCTGCGACCCTTCAGTGGCGAATAATCTTCAGTTCTGTATAGATGAATTTACTGGCGAGGGGCGACGGAGGATAAAGAGAAAAAAAAGTAAAGAACGTATTTATCCATGAGGATACAGTATAGACGCGTAACGCTTCGTTTACGTTGTGTTTATGGGGCTTGAGTAAATAGTGGAGCTTAAATAAACAGGGCCGTATCGTGTGTAATATTTATCGTGGGCTCGTGTGTATAGCTACGGGGGGACGAGATAGGGGTAGGTAGATAGGTATCAGCCTACTCCCAATTTTCTCTGTGTTCGTACGGTAGAAACTCTCTGTTGCTATGAATCTGCAACATTAACGAGCCGTTTTACCTGGGCGTATAAATTTTGAGGAATTTAACCCTTTTCATGCCCGACAATGTGTAGCCTAAGGGGCTGCTGAATACACGATGCCATAGCCAGGCAAGAGAGTGTTGTAAGAAAAAGATACAGTAGCTAAGGGTGGAAAAAGGAGTAAAAGGGGAAAAAAGGGGGCGGGAGTGAAGGAGACGAAGTGTAAAGGAAAAGGGAGGACGAGGGGGGAAGGGAGGGAGGGTAGGTGGGTTATACTAATGAAGAATCTTAGTACCAAGAAATTTCACCCCGGGCAAAATTTCTCATTGATTAAAGTGCTAGTTGCCTGCGTCCCGACGGTGGACGTCTAGCCATCCACATCCTTCCGGAACAATAATCCTTATTAAATGTCCTGTAGACGGGCTGCAAGGATCCCTAATAAAGGTACCTTTAAAGTGGTTGAATATCTTTTGAAAATTGGACAATTATTTTTAAGGTTATTCTTTACTTATTGTGAAACGACGAACGACTGTTGAGCTTCTGGGTATGGGAATTATAAAGGTTCTGTGTCTCTGTGTGTCCTAGGGGTAGGTTAGGTTAGAATGCCAGGACGAAACGATACCCGGAGGATGATACTGGTTGTTATTACTCCTTGAATTATGCTCGTGGTTGGTTAAGCGGATATGGCTCATCCTGAAATTCCCGCATGTAATTAAAGCCATGTTCCAGTGAATTTATCTGTGAACCATAATAGACGGAATCTACATTATTTTTATTACATGGATTTTACTTGCTTATCCCAATATTTGTTCTGTAAGATACGTTAAGCCTGAGCTGCAATACCTGTACACGTGGGTTTGGGTACCAAAGTAAATTAGCAAGAGAGACGTTATGAATCTTCCTGAAAGACCTGGGCATCTTCGCCCGCCTTCTTCCCGAGCAGTATTCCCACCACCAGGGTAGACTGCCAGAGTAGGCAGATATGTGTAGCCAACTAAGTGCTGAATAACGGCGTGTAGCACGCAGACAGTACCTAGGTAAGCTCTGGAAGGAGCTTTACGAGCAGCTACCTCTGAGCTTGCTCAAGTAAACAGCGGTGAACTTTAAAAGCTGCTATACACCACCTAGGACAAATATATATATATATATACGTATGCAAACAACCATCTCTTCTGGAGGTCATAGGTTGCGCAGTGACTCTTTAGAGGTCTCTCACAGAACAAAGGATCCTGGGTCCTGAAGCAAAAGTGAATTTTTCGTTCAACATAATTTTTCTAACAGATTCTCATTTTTCTAGGAGACTCCGGTGGCTGTGGGATCAACGACGAGATCGTGGAATGGATGGACATGATTCAGAATTCCGGGGAACCTGACTCTCCTCCACCTGCACCCAAGAAGGTCAATGCGACAAGGCCAAAGGTCGAACCCTGGAACGGCGACGATGAGAATCCTGGTCATAAGTATACCAGGGAGGCAAATATTCCTGGTCACAGGAGAACTCGGAGGGCTACCAGACCCAAAGAGGACAACAAGAATACCTGCTCCCTCTTCATTCAAACTGATCCTCTCATCTGGAGACACATCTCTGAGCAGGTAACTGCTCCCTGAAGTCTTGCTGAATTTTACCTACGTCTACAATTATACATTGACATTCCCTGACGTGTTCATAGCTACGTAACTTCAAAAATTGTCTAGTGGAATTGCAGGCTGTTAAAAAAAATAGTATGGTTGACCTGCTGCCCCCAGTATATGTACTTCTGGTACCTGGTCTCTGGGTCCATGTGCAATTCTGGGTTTGCATAGTCGGCAAATTGTTTACGTACTCCCTATCTCTGTGTCGCTTGTAGATATACACACTTGCCACATGCTACCTTTGCACTCGCGCACAATCAATAGATTCCATTTTGTATATCGTCGTGTCGACCACGTTACTGTTTGGAATGACGATTTTTTATTCAGTGCCATTTTTATCGTTGAAAGGAATTTAAAAAGTCTTTTTTAGAGGAAATATATGGAGAATAAAAGTTTTTCAGGCAAATTGTACGCTTGTCTTTTTCCTTTCTTTTGCAGCTTCATCACGATGCTGAAAAAACGCGAGAGGAGATCTTGTCTTTGATTGCGCATCACGTTACTGCTGTTAATTATATATACAGAGACACTAGGTTCGATGGTCGGATCGAACACAGGAATATTAAGTTCGAAGTTCAAAGGATAAAGGTAAGCATTTTATGATTTAGTGAAGATATTGATTGTTGTTTGTTTGAAAATTAAGGATTCTAATTATTTTATGTATTTCGTTGGGACAGATTGATGACGATACTGCCTGTACGCAGCCACAGAACTATGGTGAATCGAATCCATTTTGTATGGAGAATATTGACGTCAGTAATTTTCTCAATCTTCATTCTCTTGGGAATCATGAAGATTTTTGTCTCGCCTACGTCTTCACTTATAGGTATGTTTGGGATAATGTGTTTGTGTTGGTATCATTGAAGATGGGAATTTTAATATTTTCTTTTGCTTTCTTCTTTTTAGGGACTTTACCGGTGGCACTTTGGGACTTGCCTGGGTAGCTTCGGCATCCGGAGCATCTGGGGGAATCTGTGAGAAGTACAAAACTTATACCGAGACTGTTGGAGGGATGTATCAGTCTACCAAGAGATCACTGAACACAGGAATAATTACTTTTGTAAATTACAACAGCAGAGTCCCTCCAAAAGTGTCTCAACTCACGTTGGCCCATGAAATTGGTCACAATTTTGGTAGTCCGGTAAGTTTCTACGAACTTTGACCTATGTTTTGAATAGTCTCAGTTTTACTGTTTCAACGTTTCATCGGATAACATTAATTCTCGTTTTCACAGCACGACTTCCCACCGGAATGCAGACCCGGCGGTTTACATGGGAACTACATTATGTTCGCCTCGGCCACGAGTGGCGACAGACCGAACAACAGTAAATTTTCAAAATGTAGCATAGGAAATATCAGTAATGTACTAGACGCCATAGAAGACAACAAAAAGCGTAATTGTTTCACAGGCAAGTATCGATTTTAAAAACTAATTTTTAACGTTCCATTATTTTGAATAATATTTATTTTTAATTTTTCTATTTTCACAGTGTCTGCTGGTGCATTCTGCGGCAATAAAATTGTGGAGGCTGGCGAGGAATGCGACTGCGGTTACGACGACGACGAATGCGCTGACAAGTGCTGCTATCCTCGTCAAGTTTCGGACTTGGAAAGAATTAAAAACGACACTGCCAAAGGCTGCAATAGAAAATACGGAACGCAGTGCAGGTAATTTTAGAAAAATTTTAAACATGAATCACTCCACTGCAAGAGACTCAATAATCAATGGTGATATTTTTTTATTTCAGCCCAAGCCAAGGTCCTTGCTGCTCTAGTGAAACCTGTCAATTTGTACCGTTATCGCACAAAGTTCAATGTAAAGCTGAATCTGACTGCAGTTATAATTCTACTTGCAATGGTAGCTCATCAGAGTGTCCGGCGCCATCGCCAAGAGCTAACAAGACCAGATGTAACGAGGGGACTCAGGTGAGTAGAGTTCGGTGTAAGCACGATATCCAATTACTTTATACAGATTTTCTAACGTTCTGGTTTCTCAGCTGTGCATTAACGGCGAGTGCACTGGATCCATTTGCTTGGAATGGAACTTGACCGAGTGCTTCCTTACAAGTAATATCATACCGAATATCGACAAGCGTAAACTTTGTGAATTGGCTTGTCAGAATGGTACTGATCAGTCGACTTGTCGAAGCACCAGTGAATTCGCTCACATTGTGGGTTTGCCCGATGGCGGCATAAGCCTTAGGCCTGGTTCACCTTGCGATAATTTCCAGGTAATTAATTTGCGGTTCTATAAATCAGTTAAATAAAATCGTATTAATACTCTGATACCATTTTTTTTATAGGGATACTGTGATGTGTTTTTGAAGTGTAGAGCAGTGGATGCTGAAGGCCCACTTGCTAGGTTGAAGAATTTACTCTTTAACAAAGAGACTCTATTGACGGTTGCGCAGTGGGTCACGGTAAGTTGTGAAGTCAATATCGAGAAAAAAAAGAACTCTACGCGAAACGAGTCTAGAAATAATATTCTTGTTTTACAGGAATTCTGGTGGGCTGTTCTTTTAATGGGTATAGCTTTCATCATTTTCATGGGTCTATTTATTAAATGCTGCGCCGTTCACACTCCCTCCAGTAACCCAAAGAAGCCACCAGCTAGACGAATTAGTGAAACTCTTAGAAGGCCAATGAACACTCTCAGACGAATGGTAAAGTCAAGAGTTATTTAAGATTAATTTTCTTTACCGCGTACAAAGACAAATATTTGAATAATGAAAAAAAATATATATTCTTTCAGCGGCATCCCCACGGTGGCGGTGGTGCTGGTCCCAGAAGTATACCACCAAGACAAGGTCAGGCAGGTCACGGTACACGTGGACCTTCTCATGGTTATGGTGAAGGCAGAGGTGCTCAGTATTATCCTAAAGGTGCGTTTATACGAAATTTTCATATTATTCCGTCCCCTTCAGCGATCGATCGAGTTTGGAATAAAAAAGATGTTGCGGCCACCCCATAAAAAAATAAGAAATACGATATACTCATAAAATCCCATATAAATAAAATACCTTCTTCACGGTAAAACCTATTTTACTATACTTGCTGGTGATTAGATTCGCTAGATTTTAGATAAATGAAGTGTGGGTAAGAAACTCGATCGGAGCAACTCCCCCCCCCCGG